GTACTTGATTCTTAATCATTGTCTTTCTTTGATCAACGTTTAAGGTGAGCGATTCAAAACCATTAAGAATGCCCTATAAGAGTTGAATTTGCACTTTAATTTGAAATTATTTTACATGAAAGATATCAAAAATGGATGGGAAAGAATAATTTGTTGTTAAGGAACCGGTGATGAGACATCAGAGGAAATTAACGAAATCGCTGAAAGATGAAACGTTATACGTTGGATACGTTCGATCGAGGGAATTGTATCAGGTGAGTGAATGAGTGTGTAGTCATTTGATTCAGTTCCACCATTCACCCTTATCTATTGCTTGCATGTTTTGCACGGGTTTTATTCGAGCGGTCATTAAAGATGGCTTTATGACTTCACAGTTCACGAAACATTACCTAAGATTACTCAGAGAATTTGTCGTAGCATCGTATGATGGAAAAGAACATGTCGTTGGTTTCAGGCAAACTTATTGCTGCTCAGTTCGGCACTGCGCGATGATCGATTGGACATACAGGTACGACACAATACAATTGGAGTGAGAGATTTTCGCATTGATGCAGAAAAGTTACGTCAGCGATTGGAAGAGATGGGCTCGGTAGAGGGNGAACAAACCGAGGAGCATGAAGAACAAATTGAATCGCAGCCTCCGCCAGTGAAACGAAGACGTGCTCAGCTTGGCGCCCTCCGCTAGGTTTTATCATATCTCTTTGATATTTTGCCTTCAATTCTGTTTCTTTTCCTGAATTGTCAACTTTCGAATTATGTTCGTTGATTGATGATTTTTTGAATGATTCAAATTCTTCTCTTCAGGGTGTTCAAATGTTTGACAACGATATTGCTAAAGTTGGACTGCCTTAGCGAATGTTTGCATTTCGCACGAAAAATACTGCTCATGGCGATTAATTTATGTTCTAGTAATATGTAACTTAAGGTGTTCGTAACTCGTAGATCATAACTTTTCTTGTGACTTAAACTATTTTGCTGAAGCACTTTCGAGTGTAACTTTTGTGATTGGAGTATCAGAAAACCTTTACCGTTGTAAGTAACGTTCTTTTTCTTATTTCCTTGCTGTTCACTCATGTAGGAGATCTCATTATCGATTGAGCACAATTCACCTTAGATATACAAATGCTTGTGTACCTTGTGTAATGTAAAGTGTTATTATGTTTATATTGAAACTTTATTCATTTTGATGAGATTTGAACGTTGTATCTCACATGTGTGCATGGTTGATGGCGATCCTCTCATAATTATCACTGCCGTCGATGTTGTTGCGACTGTCATCGTTTGCATTGTCAATGTAACGCTATCATTATAATCGTTAACGTAATTATCATTATTGCAATTGTTCATAATATTGTTCTTGTTATTGTTTGTGTACATCAAGCGCCGTTGTATCAACTGGACAAATGTCTTTCAAATTGTTCCATCCAATTAGCACTGCATTCTTTTCGTATCAAATGCAAGTCAAGTTTTGACCTTTGCATTTTTTGATAAGGCCTTCTCAGCATTGGATATAGACGTCGAATTTGTTTACTTGTTCTTGTTTCTGAATGAGTGAATTGCGTCTGTATGGAATGAATAAGTTCAAGCTCAATAGATAAACACTGAATTGTGTATGCTGATAAAGAAAGCTGTATTGATGCCGAATAGACAAGACATTCGTAAACTCGCACAGGCGCACTGCTTTTTTTCACAGTCGAAGAAACGTTCAAAATACACAGTTCAGTTGCCTATTCGTTGTTAACATGCACTAATTCATTCGATTGACATTTTTACTAATTCTCTCTCTCGCGACCACCAGTCGCGAGAGAGTCGTTACACTTCCCATTAAGGATCGCGACATTTATTCTTCCTAATACCTCTAATCAGTAGAAGCAAAAACATCTGTAGCTGACTCCACAGAGCGAATAAAACTACCTGATTCAACTTCGGTGCAAGATCTCATTTTCAGTTTAAAATAATAATACTCAATATGGAAACGAACTGCTTCCTTCCAAACTAGAAAAAATCAACTCCCTTCTTCGTTTATTCCTCATCTCTTAACTCTAAAAGTGTGAAAATAATTTTGTCGAGTGTCTACAACTTCACGAAGGTTTCTTCAGGGTGGCTTTTCAGATAATTTCCACAATACGCGAGATCCAAAGTAGTTCAGTTCCGATTTCCAAACATATTTCAACCTCTCACAGTCCACGCAGATGATCAGGTCCGCACGCGGTTGTTTGTCGATTACTTTGATCAACTGCTCAGTCTGGCCGTGGACATGGCAATCGCTCGATGACTGGAGTCGTTTCTTNTCATTTACTATCATGAACACACCGCAAACGAAGAACCTTCTCAATGTGGGTGTCAAAGACGATCGATAGGCCACTAAATGTTTTATTCATTTACGGCTGATCGAAATCATCAAGACTTGATCAGCTACAATAATATCGTTCGATGCAATGCAATAGTTGTATGATTATTTATTTTTATTCGTGTTCTTTTTATTCTTCTTCTTTGCCACATTAGGGTTATTATCGGCGATGGGTGAACGTTGGCTGTCTTCATTTTCAGATACAGTCAATAGTTTACATTTGATGTTTTTTACCGATTGAATATCACTATTAAGCTTCTGTAATGATAATATGTTGTCAATAATCACCGGTCTCTTAAATGGAGATTAGGGATAATCCACGCTAAAGACCCAAGACAGCTTCACGTTCGGAATATCTTTCAGGTAACTCCCTTTATCATCCAATTGTGAGCTCGATCATCTTTTAACTCGTTTAGAAAAAAACTTCCGATTGAATAAGATATTCAAATGAAGAATACCACAGTCCGATGATTTCATTGTCAGATGGGTTGCAAAGATTGCTAATGGATAAGACCTAGGCAGAATATTGAGGTTCGGCTCGACTGAAACTGCTTAAGTGAGCAGTTTACCTTTACGGTATTGCCCATCTCCTCAATTCTGCTGAACATCAATCCCTGAAGATAGATTGAGCTAGCGAGTACCGTACCCATAGACATCGTCAAGCAACCGATTGAAAATGCCCTGCAAAATAATGGTTCGAGTCTATATCCCAATATTTTTGCTTGGATAGCTGTTTCAAGATATTTTTTCAATATTCAATTTTTATTGAGTGTCTCACAGACATCTGCACAAATCCGTCTGGATTGAGGTTTTTTAAATCTTATATTTTATAAACAATAACACTCTTTACAGCTCATTTACTGAGAACTTCTCCAAATACACCAATTTTGC